TAAAGCTAGCAGAGAAGAAAAAGAAATAGTCAGAATCACCCGTACACCTTCTGTCATTTCAAACATACTGACGCGTCTCTCATTTGGAGCATTAAGAAAGTCAAGAACAGACGGAAGGGAAGTTGTGCTTAGACAATTTACTTCCTCTCTGTCTACCACCCAGGCGAAGCTGTGTCAGGCATACCGCTTGAGATCGTCTGTCAAGACGCAAGAGGCCAGTAGTTGAACGGGCCGTCAACCATTAGTACTCATACTTATTTTACTTTAGAAAGAGCTTTCAGTGCCTTCCAGCTGCTTGGCCGGACTGGGTGGGATTGTGTGGGGATTCAGAGTATCCTGAATCCACGTCTTTCTTTGTCTTACTCTTGCCTCGTACTATGACCGTCTTTAGTCCATTAGTAATCAACGAACAGAAAAGCAGTTATCAGTCTAGAAGCTCTTAAAATTGAGACAACCACAAAATTCCAGTTTGAAATGACACCCGTTTTCCCCCATTGAGCCCTATGTATGTCTTTCCTTTCTGTTCAACCGGAGGAAACGACCGGTAATAATAATTTAGCAATAGTACAATATTTTGGACGGACTGGATTATGTTTTCCACCAAAAGAAAAACTCAACGAATTGCTGATAATTTTGACTGCACCTTTTTCTCCGTTTACATAATTTCCTGTTCTCTAGTCATGTTTTGTTAAGTGCTTTCATCTCCACTTTCTTTGCCCCCCCCTCTCCCTCACACACACACATCTGGCTTTCTCCGGGCTCCTCTCTCTGTTACTATTGTCTTTTTCTACTATCCGTGGCTCCGTCTCACTGTTGTCAATCACCATCTTATCAAAATTCGGGAGAAGCTTAGAACTATTTGTTGATGATGAAGGGAGACAGAACCATAAATCCCAGCAATACGGGGCTGCTTCTCATGACACCAGAGCAGCTCCTCGATAGATAAGCAAACACTTTGGTTAAAGGATAGTCGAACGAGTGAGCACGACTGGACCCCAAACAATCTGGACCTGAGTCCAATGGACTTTGACCTTTGGGGCTGTTTGAAGGTCAAAGTGTTTGGGAAAACCTTCGAAAGTATTCAAGACTAGACTGAAACAGTCATAGAAGGCATGAAACATATTTTCCTCAAGTAATATCAACCCTTGATTGTCAATTTCACTGTGTTGCAGAATGTGCTTGGCTACATGTTTGGGTCATCTGGAAGATATCTTGTAACGTTGTTTGTGGCTGTGATATTCTATTGTTACCAATACATAGAAAATCCAAATAATTTTTGTTCAACGTTTTTGCAAACTATGGTGCTTGTAACTTTATTCACAATGGCATTATCGGCTTTCTTTTGGAGAAACACTTTTCCTGCCCACCTGAAGGTACCGTACCTTTGGATTCGGAATATGGCAGCCTGTAGATTAGTAGTCCTTCTAAGTAGGAAAACCGGTCACATGCGTAAAATAGTGTTGCACTGCAGGTTGAAGAATCAGCTGTTGACTACCCACGATATCTAGCAAGAGAACCGAAAAAGGAAGAAAGTCATAATTGCTTACCTGATGAATTTATCTGTTTCTTTTCAAGGTTTCGTCAATAGTGATTTGGAATGGGGGAGGGGGGGGATGATAATGTTATAGCCATAATACATAATTACTTATGTAAATTTGTGTAATATGCTGCATTATCATAAATGAAAAACATCTGTTTATATTGAAGTCTTTTAAAGTTCGAAAAACCCCCCATTAAAACGCAACATAACGGACAATGTTGCCGAAACTCACGAAAATGTGGATACATTTTGTTATATGAGCGTTATTTTTTAGACGAAATACTTAACCATGAGTATTATTTCATGCACAGTGGAAATTTCAAAACCATTCATCTCTTCATTGCTGTATTGACCCATGCACCCAATTGTTTTTTACCAAACTGATTCGTTGCCATTTCTTTTTTCGGGGGTGTGGGGGGGGGGGGGGGCGTGGTTGTAGAGCATATTTTTCAAGATTGCTTTACCGTATTTTGTGGGGGGGGGGGGTTCCTGATAAGTGAGAGTGTACTTTTTATACGCCCTTGCTCAAATCTCTTGATTGAACCTGTTGTCTTGTCTGTACAATGCTCAGGCGAAACTCTCCAGCACCGAAAGAGATAAACACCCTCTTTACAACATTCTGGATTTCAGACTGCCGTTACGTAAAAGACAGCATGTGAGCTACAATGTCTAAGCTAAAGCAAACAAAATGTCGGCCTATGATTTGTGAATTATTATCGTCAATTACCCAAGTTAATAGCCTATAGATAAATAGTACCCCTGAGATAATGGCTCTTGTGACCTTCTCTTTGCTCCTAATTACAGAGTTACTCAAATGTAAATGTTTACTGTAACGGCTCGTAAATGTTTGTTCTCCGATTCCACTTGAAATGATTTGCTGGCACCCCTTTGATGAAATGCAAATAATGAAGATTGCTCAATTTTAGTGGACGTTTTTTATGCCTCAATCGACCCAAAAAGATCCCCCTGAACAAACCAGCTACACACATATTTATTAACGGGTAAAAAAAGTTATCGAAACGCACATTGTCGTAAATAGTTGACGTAATGTTTTGCAGCTCTTCTTGATGGTGTTTAACGTGAGTAAATATACCAGAAAGCTATTAACTAATAGAAACATACCTAGACATTATGGACATTGTAATCATTTTGCTTTTCCTCACGGAATGTTTGGGAGAATTGTGGGTGCCACATGCAACACAGAATAAAAACTAAAAAAGAAAACAAGGATACGCAGTATTAAAATAGCATTGTTTGCGAACTATAGAATTTCTACATCTCCACTTACTTAAAAACCTACTTTTCAGTACAGACGTATCAGTATCTAACGGCAACAAGTAGTACCACACCAGGGCCTGTTTTACAGCGGTTAAGCTGCTGGACTTCATAAGCAGTAGACCTGAGTTGGTACGCCCTGGGGTCATAATTTTGTACCCCTGGGATTGCATTCTTCACATTTTAGAATACTTCTAGTACTAAGATCTCTTTGAAACTTTCAGTATTTCTCAAAAGATCATTTTGACAGACTGCTATACAAAGCGAACGGATTGGATTAACGAGTAAATTTCCTCTTTGGAAAGTGGTGGCACAGCTTTCCCTAGGTCGTATGGATAGAATAGTAAAACATGACGCACGGATAGGGTTTAAAAAATTGTATTTCGATTTTTATTCTAGAGCTTTATACCGCTCTCAACCCGGACTGGTTCAAAAAGGCAAGATCGAAGACAGACCACCTCATGATACTAGACGTAAATGGTGTGGATGGGGGCGTAACGACCAACTACGTTAAAAACAGTGAAGTCTTCCCTGAGACACGTCCAGTTTACAGTAAAGCCATATGCGTGGCATTGAGGTGAAATAAGGCAGTCAACAAAATAACGAAATCGGAGAAACAGGCATTTTTCCACCAGTTAGGCAATTTAAAAAAAATCGAATTTTAGTTTTTTGGCTCAACCCCTTTCATGTCTATACAAAATCACATTTCCCTGTGAATTTTACAGAAAAACATTGATTTAAGGCGCCAAATATGTCTTTCTTCAGTGTTCAAGGACTCTTCAGCTATTGGAGTTACCAAACTTCGGCCATCAATTTCTCGCTAATTTCACAACTGAAATTTGTCGACCTCACCTCCTTCAATTGTAGGTATCTTGACTTCTATTCAAGATAAATGGATATTTTTTCCATTACCAGCAAAACAACTAAATACGCTTTCAGAGGATACCAATAACTCCACATAACCAAACACTGACGATCGCCAGATTCCACCGCGTCAGGACACATATTTTAACTCTTTTCACTAGATCTCTTGGCTACCAAGGGACAATTGTGAGGCAGGCTGGTGGCATCAGGCTCTCGTCAATTTGTGGGCATGTAGAGTTATTGGTATCATCTTAAAGCCTGTTCATTAATCTTGCTTCGGATGAAAAAAAATATCCATTTATCTTGAATACAAGTCGAGATGTTTGCGAAAGAAGGAGGTCTGGGTCACTTGTTTTCAGAGGTAAAACTGGTGAGAAAAAAGTGAGAAATGAGTTCTTTAATGAACATAAAAGGTGTTGAGCCAAAAAACAAAAAAATTGATTGTAAACATTCACAAACCTGCGGAAAAATGCAAGTTTCTTCACTTTGATTATTTTGACGAGAGCCTGGTTCCACCACGCTGCCTCACAATTATAGTTGTCGTTTATTACCATATCGAAAAAACATGTGCATAGTGCATATCATTGGTGAACAGCAAACTCTCTCCACTTAACAATCTACATTGTTATTAGGCCAGTAGACCCAACTAGACAACCGACGCCATTCATTGTGGTAATGAGGACGTAAAGCGATTTTTTCACTGTGTCTAGCAGATCGTTTCAAACTAGTAAAAATAATTCAGAGCATTTTGTGATACTATTAAGAAAAGAAATTCTATCTGAAAAATATAAACATTTGTTTTGACTACGAAAATACAAGTTCTGAAATGCTTTTATGGTCAACCCTTCTATATGGCTGTGAATGCTGGTCAGTCACAAAAGGCAGAGAAAATAAAATAGAAGAAACAGAAATGTGTTTTCTTTGGAGAGTGATGAAAATATTATTATATTGATAGAAAAAGAAATAAAATAAGCTAGTACTTGATGAAGCCCACGTGGGACACTCACTGAAAAAAAAAACAATCAAGAAAAGACCAAAGCAATTTTTTTGACTCCAAAATCGACATAAAGGTCCTGAGAATCTAGCTTCCACTGACAAAATCGAAGGCAAAGGAGGAAGGGGTAAGCCCGGAGCAAGCTATTTAGAGAACCTAAACAGATGGGTAACAGGGAATTATCAGGGTTACGTAGCTTTTTTAAGGGCATCCGAGCAAAGGAATGAATGGAGAGCCATGATCACCGATGCCTGCAGAACTTGAGGATAACGATACTTTAGAAAAAAAAGCAAGAGTTTATACTTTTTTTTTTTGGTTTCCAGTTTTGAACTTGTTCCTTTAATATTTCACTTTCAGCGGAACTGGACTACTGATCAATCTGACAGCTTTTTTTAAAGTACTACTCAATTGTTGCTATTGTTGTTATCGTAGATTTTGTTGTAGTGATTATTCTTGTCATGGTTTTGTTTCGCTCTGCAAACATTTGTTAGGATGTGTAGGATATCAGTAGCACAATAGTTTTCTCCTTTTCTTTCTTTTATTTTTTTTACAGAGTCAAGTGATAAAGAAAGGACAGAAGCCGTGGAAACTGTTTGATATTATCGGAGATGGCCTCAAGTAACAAAAGTTATCCATCAAACTCAGAGACAACACTTAAAGGACTGGTCGACGACCATGTGCGGGAGATATTCGTTCTTCTGTTCTTCGTCTTCGCCTTGGGAACCATCAGTTTCTTTGGCGTCGTCTTCAACGCAGTCAACATGATCGTTTTCATTAAGCAGGGCTTTAAAGACACAGTGAACATTGCTCTGTTTGGTATGGCCATTTCAGATATCGGAGCTCTGCTTCCTCTGCTGTGGGAGAGCGTCTGTTTCAACCCTTGGTTTGCCAGTGCCGATTTACCCTTTGACCCGCAGGACGTCGTGTATGTGACGTCAGGATGGCCCCACGTTTGTTTCGCCCGCATTACTAGTTGGATCACGGCCTTCGTCACGTTGGAGAGATGTCTGTGTATCGCTATGCCCCTCAAAGTGAAGACAATCATAACTCCAAGGCGGACAATTTATGTCATTCTCGGCATCTACTTGGCGATGTTTGCTTGCGTTGTACCAGCTCTGTATTCAGTTTATCTTGGTCCGAAACTCTACCCGCTCAGAAATGAGACCAAGATTGGGTTAATCTTCATACCTAACGGACCTTATATAGAGACTTTTTCCACTATGTTATACGCCTTTTCTCAAATTGCTTCTTTCTTCGCTGTTATTGTTTGCACTGCAATTCTCGTTCAAAATCTGATACGTAAATCAAAATGGCGGGAGTCTACTTCAAGCACTGCACAACAAGAATCGTTTTCAAATCGAGACAAGAAAATTGTTAAGATGATTCTTTTGATTGCAGTTATATTTATTGTTTGTTTTCTGCCCAGCACAGCCAGCTTTATTGCCCAGACTATCAAGCCTGAGTACAACTTCGTTGGGAGATACCAGAACTTGTTTCTGCTTTCGTGGGCGATTTTTACGTCGGTGGCGGCTGTCAACTCTACAGTAAATATTTTTGTGTATTACAAAATGAGCTCCAAGTACAAAGAGATTTTAGACAAAATGCTCAGGATGAACGGAGAGAAGAGTGTGTGAGACAGGCGTACGGATGTAATCTAACAGCCAACTGTTCAAGACAATCACCTGTACAGACGACCTCTTACTACCCCCCCCCCTCATCCCTTCCGGGCTACTACACTTGAGAGAGTGTTATTTTTTAATATTATGATGACACTCTCCGAGATATCCACCTGTCCAAGACAACCAACGTTCTCCTCAACACTGAGTGGCTGTCTTGGACAAGTTAGGTTGTATTATGTAAAACGTAAAAAAAATCGAATGTGAGGTGTGCAGAAAAATATGAGATGATTCTTGGATTTTATAAGTATTCGTATGACCTTAGAGCATGTGTTAAAAAACCATCGGAATAATGAGTTTGTATCTAACTTAACATTAAAATTGTTCATATTACTATTCATTTATATTATGCATGTAACGGTAAGCCTGTTTGTGAGCCAGAATACTGCGTGTGTGTGCATGTTTGTGTGTGTGGGTATGTGTGTGTGTGTGTGTGTGTGTGTGTGTGTGTGTGTGTGTGTGTGTGTGTGTGTACGTGGTGAAAGACCATACCAACGATCCATGTTCTGGACAATAAAAAATGTATCTTATCTTATTTTTCCTTTACCCTAATTGACACAGCAGATAGATACTATACATTTATGGATCTCGTTTGTACATTTAAAATATTATACGAAATGATAACGCATGGTTAACTTGAAGAAAATGGCATCTCTTTAAAATTCTCAAATTTGATGTGTCTGTTTTAGGCCGACAACTCCATTCGTGGTTTGCTAGAAGTAACTCATTTTGTCAGCACGCCTCACAAATCTCTTGTCTTTTGTGCAGTTACGCTTTTCATTGTTTCGTACAAAACACGTAGTTAGCTCCCTGCATATCAACGTCTGTGGTGTGTAGCAGTTAGAAGCCTCGCCATTGCTTGCAGAAAACCCAAGTGAGTTTGCCGTGTAGGGGAGGATTTGTATTGAGAATTTGTCGCTTTTAAGGATACGCGGGCTAACCCAGATTTCGGGGGTTTCCAGAAAGAAAGTTGTTAGGGGAGCGCTGTTTTGTGCACTGGGGGACTGCAAAGAAACAACCTTTGACCTTTGGATCGAGATCAACAAGCCATCATCGAACAAATCTAGATTCTACTGATACATAACTAGATGTAGATCTAGATGTAGATCTAGATCTAGTTAACTTAATTAGTATGGTGAGAGAGCCAAATACTGTTTATTTGAGGCGAATTTATCGTTTATGTTGACAGGTAGGATGATCTATCTAGATCTAGATCTAGTAGTACTAATGACATAGACTGTAGACTATACTACATGGTAGGTCTACTCTTCTTCAATTTACAAATGTGCAGTCTGTGTTTATAATATCTAGACCTATTAGATCTAGATCTAGTTTCGATCTAGATCTTAGCCAAGTAGTAGGCTTAGTATCAGTATTACGAAAGTTACTCTAATACCAAGGTACTGCAATCCTTCTTTGGGCTTTCGGTGTGAGTATTCGCACCCGGGGTGAGAATATTCCACATAAAAGATCTATATTATTCTCACCAAGTATTTTTCGTTTCCACCCGTTTTAGATCTAGATTTAGAGTTTTTGTATAGTCCCCTAACAACCTCCATTTCAATATCTTAGTAGAAGTGAATCTTTGGTTATACTAAACTAGATCCAGGCCTAGATTTGAGATATTATAGACAAAGACTGCAATTTTTCAAATTAAAGAAGTGTAGGCCAACCATTTAGTGTTGTCTATACAGTGTACGTCATAAGTAGTACTACTGCTATATTATCTAGATCTAGCCTAGACATTTGCCTTTCACAAAAAACAGTGGGTGACTCTACCATACTCATTAATTTTTAAAAACAGAACATAATAGCTGCCAAAAACATCGCCAACAGTCAAATCAGACAACATGTCAATTTGTCAAGGGAGGAAATGTTAATGTTGTTAATGTCTAATGATGGCTTGTTGGCCTCGATTCAAAGGTCAAAGGTTGTTTCTTTGCAGTCCCCCGGTGCCAAAAGCAGCGCTAGGGGACTGTACATTCACAGTCCCCTAACAAATTCCTTCCAGAAATCTTGACCTACACCAAAAGTGGGCATTGCCGTACGTCTTGGGGAAGTTTGGTTTCATTGGTGTGTGTATTTGTTTGGTTATAGAGAAAATTCTCTCTTTTTAATAAACTGAACAAGGGTCCAAAAACTTTTCTTCTATTTTCTCAAAACAGCATTTTTCGAGATAGCCCCCTTGTGTTTCAAACCTACCAATTTTTGTCTTTCTGCCGTCAGACTATGCTACGTCCCTCTCAGCCAATGTTTGCCAGACAGACAGGATTGAAACCCGCTCCCTGGGTGATCTATGCTCAGTATACTGCGTCGATGAGGACGTAAAAGTATGCACATTATTTTTTTTTAAAGAGTGATCCGAGAAACATGGATGGGAAGTCAAACTGCTTACCCATTACCTTTCTGTTTGCGAACAGCAAAAGCCAGGGTGGTGTTTGTAATGTATAGGTTAGGCTACCAGGCGCGTAATCGTGAGATTTTAGGTTCGGAGATTCCTGCGTTTGAAAAAAGAGTATTTTAACCGTGTAATGTTTGTGTCGTCAAAGGTGAGATATTTCATTAATCAAGCCTGGTTCGGGCGTGACTGGCAGGATGGAGTTTGAGGGCACCTATAAGGTCTATACTGTGCCAGTTGTGTGTAAAACATTTTTCAACCAATTATGGAATTCAACGAATACATTTAGGGAGTGTGTATGTGTAAGTGTATGTATTTGTGTGTGTGGGTGGTGAGGTGGGGGGGTGTGAAGAGAGGGGCTGTTACATAAAAGAGGCTGTATTAGATCTTGGAGGGCATTTTTGTTCTGTAATCTTCTCAATATCAGAGAGTTAAAGGCTTTTCAGATTAATGCTTGAAATGAATATTTTTGTATAGGTCTTTTTCCAGCATTTAAAAAGATGAAATTTTCCTTGTACGCATAGTGGGAAATCAAACTACTTATCTACCCATTACCTTTCTGTTTGCGAACAGCAAAACCCAGGGTGGCGTTTGTAATGTAGAGGTTAAGCTACCGGGCGCGTAATCGTGAGATTTTGGCTTCAGGGATTTGAGGCTTATAATATGTCTGATGTTGCGTCATTGGGAAGGACTCTTTACACGAATGTTCCCAATAGCTGGCTCAGTCCTATCGGATATGGACGTTATATTTGCAGGCCCCACCTCTATATAACCATTAGGCCTTTAAAAATAAATTTAAAAAAAAAGAAACATGACCCATAACGTGTGTGAAGATTCAAACTGCACTACCTGAAATCCCTGAAAGTGTTATCTCTGACTCAGAGGTTGACTTGTAATGACCCTCCATCCTTCATGGTCGCGAGCTGCAGTTGAATATTCTGTTATACCTTGGCCAGTCCATCAGATCACTGTGGAACATTAAAAAAATAATAAATAAAACCCTATCCAAATCAAATATCTCGGGGTTCAAAATGTAATGTCGTTCTTAATCATTAACCTTTTACGCATGACCTTCCTTCGGGTATTCGGTGTTGGCAAATGGGTTTTTTGGGACACATTTGCGCCTTTTTGTTGTTGACATAGATAATGAGAGACTACTTCGTAAGACGTTCGTTGTTACAATTAGCTGTAGCTGCTCTGTGCTCGTTGAGAAAAAAAATTATGGCAAACATGCAGTCAACAAGATGAATGTGTCAACCGGGTAAAGTTTCGTTGGAGACTGGCATTACACCAAGTTCCCTTTCGTTCGCGTCTTTTTTTTTACACATAGTAGCGGTTGCTATAGACAGTGTTATATTACCTAATGTTATCTCAGATAGATTCATCAATGTGAGGCATCGTGGTGAAATCAGCCTCTCGTCAAAATAATTAAATGAAAATAAACTGGTACTTTTCAGGCCCTTGGGCAGGGCTTTTTTTTCAAATTTTCTTTTTTTTGGCTTTACACATTTATGTCCATTAAAAAACACAGTTTTGTGTGGATTTTACTGGGACCCCCCCCCCCCCCCCGCTGATTTGAGGCACACACAATTATAAATTTGTAGTTACCTAGGACTCTCAAGCAATGGAAGTTACTACACTTTGGTGGCCGTTGCATTTTTCTGCAGGTTTGTGAATTTTTATCCAATTTTGGTCTTTCCGCTAAACTCTTTTGATACCCATTGAAGAACTCGTTTGTGTGTGGTTTTTCTGAAAAAAAGTTGATTAAAGATACAAAAAATGTAAATTTTTAGTTACCACAGACTCTTTAGCTAAGGAAATAACAAACCTTTGGCGGACATTTTCTCACTAATTTTACCTCTGAAAATAGGTGAACCCCACCTCCTTCTTTCGCAAATATCTCGATTTGTATTCAAGATAAATTGATATTTATTTCATCCTTATAAAGACAAGTAAACAAGCTCTAAGATGATACCAATAACTCTACATGTCCAAAAATTAGCTAGAGCCTGATTCCACCACGCTGCCTCACACATTTTTAGTTACCTAGGACTCTCAAGCAATGGAAGTTACTACACTTTAGTGGCCGTTTTCTCATTAATTTTACCTCTGAAACCAGGCCACCACCGCCTCCTTCAATCAGAAACTATCTCAACTTCTATTCAAGATAGATACTATTTTTTCACCAAATGTAAAGGCAAGGGAACAGACTTTAAGATGAAACCAATAATTCAACATGCCCCCAAAATTGACGAGTAGCGTTGTGCAACAAATTGAATATTATGTCTGTGCCCGCCACAAAGAATGTCCCTGTTTTTCTTCTTGTAATTATGTCTGAACACACAAAAGTCTAAAAAAGGCTGTATCTCGTAATGCTTACTGTTCAAACTTGAAGTGCACCAAATGCGACTGCTTCGTAAAAGGCGAAAAAAAAGGCTCCTATATTAATTCATGTAAGCTTGTTACTTGTACAGCCAACTGATTACTATGACTTCATAATATATTATAGTTCTGGGAAGCCATTGCCTTGTTGAAATTTATTGGACATCAAATAAAAAACATGTACTCACAATTTTTTTCCCCATTATATTTCTGGCGGTGCAGAATGAAGAAGTCTGTTCTATTACGTAGAGTGATATTTTATGTTTACAAGTGTAA